CAGCACAGACTTCGTGTGTGACAGGCTTTCTTCCCAAGGAGAGCATGTGTCCAGCCAGCCGGATGGGTAAGCTGCAAAGAGCCAGAGTGACTGGACATCACCCAGCACTTCAACAGAGCTGAAGAGGGACAGTTGTCCTTCATTGGATGGGGAATTTCTAAAACCATTCTCTTTTTTCCTCCCTTCCTCTCTTCCTTCCTTTTTTTCCCTTTCTTCCTTCCTTCTTCCCTTCCTTCTCCCCTCCTTCTCTCCCTGCCTCCCTCCCTCTCTGTCTACTACTTGTTTTATAAACGTGCCTGCCTCCTGTGTTTTCCAACTACCTCCCTTGCTGGCTCATACCTTGACCACAGGAGTTCCTGTGCCAAGTCATCACGAGCCACGAGCAGCAGACTCGCACACCGGGGCGATTCCTGGGGAAACACTTGGCCCAGGGTTCTCCAGTGTGGGACAGGCCACACATTCTGAGGGGGAGGTGGGAAAGGGGAGTGGAGGGGGGAAACAGGAGGGAATTCCTCCAATTAGTTGTGGAATTCACGTTTGCTACCCATTATCTGTAGAGGCATAAATGTTATATTCGACTATAGATTTTCCATTATTTTTCTAAATGTACATAGATGTGGCTGTGATTAATAACCATTTTATAAATTCACGTGATCTAGAATCCATAGACACTAGTATCTCATTGTGTTAAATATGTTCTTAACCAGCAAATAATTAAATACACATCCCACAAATGGTAGACCAGTCGCTGTCAAAGTGTGGTCCCTGGACCAGCCGCCTCCGCTGCCGCTGGGAACCCGGGGAGTGCAGCGCCCTGGAGCCCCTCTGACCCCCGGCCCCGGGCAGTCCGGAGGGCGGGGCCCAGGAGTCCGGTTCAGCAAGCCCTCTGGGTGGTGGGATCGATTCGTGCTGCTGCAGTTTGAAAACCTCCAGCCTAGACTGCTGAACATTTACACAAAAAGGGGATCCTACCGAGAATAGCTCCTGTGCTCCCTGGACAAGAAGGGACTGTCCCTTGGCCACTGTGACGAGTAACCGGGAGGACTGGTTTACAGGCTGCCCCACTCCCGCAGCAATAACGGCCTCTGTCAGGGGTGGGCTCCCGGAGCCCAGCCCAGCGGCAGCCGTGCCGCAGCAGCCAGGCTTCCTTTGCTACAGGTCGCTTCATGCCTCAACTGCTGCCAGTGCCTGAGCCCTGCACTTCCCGGACTCCCGATGGGAGGTCAGCAGACTGCTGGGTTCAGTGTCCAGCAAGTGACGGACCCAGCTCTTCTTCCTCTGTGTATGGGTCAGGTGGCACCCTTCACTAGGGAGAGGCGGTGATGGAGACTAAAATTTGGGAATGGAAAGTCGGGGTCAGGGAGGGCGTTGTGCAGATGTCTGCAGAGCGGCGGGGTTTGGCAAGGGCGTTTCAGGCGGGGGCGGCAGGCCGGGCCACGGCCGAAAGGGGCTGCGCGTGTTACGGAAACATCACAAGGCAACGGGGGCTGTGGCGTGAGCAGGGGGATGCGCGACTGGTTGGACGGCAGCAGGTGGCCCGTCGCTTCTGGATTTTCCTCTGAGTGAGACGTACACTGGAGGGTTTCCGTAGAAAATCGCGTTCTCAGAGGAATCACGTATGCCAAGTGTGATGCAGATTCGCTGCTGTATATGCACAGTCGTTTTGAATGTGACGGCCGCACAGTGCACATGCTCACCCAGCGGCATCTACTGCCCCCACTGACTAGTGCAGCGAAGGCATTCATTGTTCACACATACGCATTCCCGTCCACTCTCTACTTGGCTGCCAGGTGACATAGATGTCACGCAAACTGTTCTCATTGTAGTAATGATGGCTGGACTTTCCCCAGACAGACCTCCACCCGGTGGTCGGACTCCCTCGGAGCTGCTGTGGTTGAAGGAGTGAACCACAGTGCCCTGCCTCCCAGACTTGCATTCTGGGGAGAAGCTTTAGAGCTAAACAGTCAAGTACTTACAGAAGACTTTGCATGCATGTATGTATCTGTGCATCTATATAACATGTAACTTCTACATGGAAATACGCTTGCTTGTATACTGACATTAACAGAGGTGACCGTTGAGTAGAAGTGATTTTTTTTCCCTTCTCTATATTTTTCAAGTTTTTGTAATGTACAAACATGATGTTTGTAGTTAGGTGGCTTCTCCTATGTTTGTTATCTGAATTAAGTTCTTTGCAAGGAGCACATGATTTTTGCTTTTAGAAAAGAATTCGTAACATAAAAATCTCCCACACAGGATTACATGTATCTTATTATAGATATAAAAAAAAACACGAGAAGAATGTTCTTTTTTTTTTCGCGATGACGAGTTTGAACAGGAAGATGTAGAAATCCGTTTTCAGAGCTCCTAGTGGTTGGCCAGTGTTCTAGGACTTCCCGTCCCGAATTCCAGCTCAGACCTCCACTCAGCAGAAACACTGCGGACTTGTCTCTTTGGCGGGGCAGCCTCATCCGCATCCAGCAAAACAGGAACTGAGCAGTTTATTCGTCCTGGAAATCTGGCCCCAGTACCCGGGGCTGGGAAGTTCCCTTTTCAGATGCCAGCTGCAGGCTCACTGTGCAAGGGCGACCCCTGTTGTTTAATTTTAAAGCGACCGTGATTAGTGAGCGTCTTAAGATTGCGATGCCAGATGCTTGTTGTGGGGAGGGGGGCGGCGGCAGGTGCACTCACCTCACCTCAGCGGCCTGCTGCTTCCCACCTCGCCGTGACCCGTTTCCTCAGGCTGCCTGAGGTTTTCCTGTGGAAACCGGATCGGGAGGCTTGACGGGCGGAGCCACGGCAAAGGCCAGCTTTTCTAACTTCGCAGGGGGGCTGCTCGCGGGCTGGGGCCTGGGTTTGCTGGTCAGCAGGCCGAGCGTGGTGACTTGTGAGCTGAGGGGCAGAGTCGGATCTGGGAACGCAGGACTTGGGCAGCTTGTGGGTGGGAGCCATGAGCAGGCGTGGAGGAGGGTGCCGCACCCTACCTGAGGATGGGCGGGCTTCCTGGGAGACATCACACCTGTCAGGGCGTTTTCTCTCTACGGGGATCGTGACAAGATTGAGCAGCTCCCAGATCTGCACTTCGAAGAGCGAGAGCTCGGATGGAGGGAAGCTGGGGTTGTCATTCGGCCAGAGCGATGCTGTCAGCGTCCGTCCACACAAGAATTGCCCCGCGCAGCTCGTCCATCACTGGGTGCTGAGTGGGGGTGCCGCGTGGAGCGCGGGCTGGGGAGTCTGGCCTCAGACACGCGGAGCCTGTCTGCAATTCATCAGCATTGCTCTTTTCCCTGGGGCCCTGGTCTGAGATTAAGAAAGCTGGACGCCAGAGGAATGTGCCCTGCATTTCTGTGCTTTGAGAAAACATGACGAAGCACTTCTCAGGGCTCATCACCACCCTGGAGCCCTTTGTTAGGTGTCATCGCTCACATGCCTGCGCAGCACCGCCCCGCCCCGGGGCGCTCCGGCCCTGCAGGCCTCCCCTCTGCCATCAGAGAGGGCCGGGTCGAAGGCTGGCCCTCCCCCGCCAGGGCCAGGTGCTCGGCGTCCCCCAGGTGTCTGTGGGTTCTGGGATGTGGGGGCTCCTACTGAAGAAAGGAAGCGGCCCTTGGTTCCCTCGGAATTTGCTGGAAAGAAAGGCCGGGGAGGGAGGCCTGCCGCAGCCCCCAGCCCGCTCTCTCCCCCGGGCCGAGGAAGGGCGGAGGCCCGGAAAGGTGACCCGGGGCAGCCCCCAGGGCCAGGCCTGGCGCTGGCCTGGCCTCCGGGCGCAGACACAGGGCCGCAGAGCTGGTGGGTGCTGCCCGGGGCGCGGGCCTCCCTGCGGGCCGGTGCTCATGGGGCGCCGGCTGGGAGGAGGTGGAGAGGTGTTTCCGGGGGAGGGGGCACTCCAGGACACCGGGTGAAGGGGCCGGAAAAACAGCTGCAAAAAAGTCGGGGCAGGAGGTGGAGCTGGTATGAAAGCCCTGTTCAACAAAAACCAGACCCAGAGAGGGCCGCAGGCGGCCCGGGTCACATGCCCGCTAGTGGCAGAGTGGAGAGGGAGCTGGAGGTGCCCCGCGACCTGTCCGGGGCTCTTGCCAGGGGTCCTGTTTCCTCTGCAAGGACTGTCTGCAGCAGCCATACCTTCTTGACCCTTGAGGACCTTGGTCGGTGGTGGGGTCAGAGGAGCGCAGACCGCCCCCCCCCCCTCCGCCACGCGCACAGCGGGACCCTAACTCACTGGCCCCTCCTGTGTGCTAGCAACCGCTCCTCTCTCAGCCTCTTCTAAACCCTCCCTCCACTCCTGCGGGATGCCTGGTAGAGCCCATTTTCCTGAGGGGGAAACTGAGGCCCAGAGAGGTTAATAGCATCCTTGTCCACAGTCACATAACTGGCATGTCTGACCCTGGTTTCAACTGAAGATCCTGCCTCAAAGCCAACCATTTGCCGCTCCGACGGACTGCTCGGTCCCTGCACCAGAGTCTCTTTCTAAGGCTATTCTTTCCTGGTAAGTTAAAAAGAAAAGAACAGAAAAGAAAAAGATCGTGGCACTTAGGAGGCCTGAACCCCATCTCGCGGTAGGCGCAGCCCTCTCTCGTCTCCTGGGCGTCCTTCTCCTCTGGGGAGCCAGGGACGCGCACGGGGTTCATGCCCGTGCACCGCCACCTCACCCTGGGGCCCCGGAGCGCGCTCGAGCGCCGCGGCCGCGGCTCGTGTCCGGGGCTCCAGCGCCCCCATCTGGCGCCAGCCGCCTTCTCGGCGCGCCTGGCTCCGGCCGGGGCAGGGATCCCCGCCCCCTCGGGCAGGCGGGGCGGGCTGGTGGCTGGGCTTCTGGGGCCAGGGGAGGAGCCCGCGGCGCTGGCTGTCGAGCAGGCAGCTATAAAGCCGCCGCGCTGGCGGGCGGCGGGATCGCGAGCCGAGCGCAGCTGGGGAGGTCGAGCCGAGTCTGGCGAGTCGGGCCAGGCAAGCGGCTGGGGGAGCACAACAGGGCCTGAACCCCGCTTTCCCAGACCAGCCACCGCTCTGCCCGCCCACGTCCGGCGGTTTGCTGCCAGACACGCCGGTCCCTGCGCTCCTAGCCCGGGAGGCGTGGCACCGCCGGGGCTGCGGACCGGGAGGTAAGGGGGCCCGCCCGGCGTGCCTGGCTGCGCGGACTGCCCAGCCTCGCAGGGGAGGGAAGAGAGGGGCCGCCGGCTCCACTCGTCCCAGGGGAAACGTTGCCCCGTGTCGGCTTCTGTTTGTCCACTCTGTGCTGTGCAACCCACCTCTGTCCACCCGTCTGTCTGTCCGTCCGTCCCTGAGTCTGTTACTGCACATGCCCCTATCACTGTCCTCCGAGATTTCTTTGCGATCGTGTGATCCTTTGCAAGCGGCAGGTGCCAGGGGCGCCAGTGTCCCTGGAGCGCACCCAGCGGGGACAGATCCCAGCTTTCCGTAGGTTCTCAGCGGCTCCTGGGGCGCGAGCCCGGGCCGAGTCCCCCGCGGAGGGACTGCTCGGAGAGTCAGGTTGCAGAGTCCAGCCCACAGGGAGCCGCTGCGCTGTGCGCGGCGGGCGTGCGCTTCGCCGCTGGTCTCAGCCCCGTCTTTTCTCTCGTTCCCCCTCCGCCTCCCGGACCGCGCTAGGCACCCAGCGTGGCGCTGGCACGGACGGTGGAGACAGTTGGATGACTTGAGGGCCCCTGCGGATGTTTAGAGTGAGATTCCAAACCTGGCACCTCTGGGAGAGGGTTTGGTGGTCCCTGGCAAGGGACATCGGCCCCACGAAGGGTCAAATTAGCTTGAGAGGAGAAGCAGGGGCCCGGTGGAGCGCAAGCCAGCGCCGCGGCCAGGTCGCCAAGCTCGCCGCTCTGGGAACGAGGGTCAGAGACAGTCTGGAACGGACCGGTGGGACGCTCTTGAGAAAGGATCTCGGTGCGCCGAAGTCCTCAGCCGCAGACTTGCTCTCAGCGCCCTCAGCGACCAAGGGGCCAACACTGCGCGCCGCCAGCAGCCGGATTTGAGGCCCTGGGTCCCGCTCCCTGCAGCCAGCGCTGCCCACAGGTGAGAACTCCCCTTTGAACTAACCCTTTGATGTGTGAGCCAGTGCCTGGCTGCAGCCCGATCCCGGAGACGGAGACGGTGCGCCTGGAGTGAGCCTCTCCGTTCCAGCGGCCTGAAGAGAGAGCCCGGGTGCGCCCGGGGGTGGGGAGCCCGCGGCTGTGCGTGCCCAGGCGCGGCGCCACCATGGACAGCTCCCAGCCGCTTCCTGTGTTCGGGTCTGTGGCCCTGGGTCTCCGGGAAATCTCGCGCCTCCCTCCCAGACTCAGCGCATTAGGGCGCAGGGCCGGAGAAGAGAGACGGCTAGTCCGCGGGAGCCCAAATACACTGTCCCCTGGCAGGGGGAGCTTCAGGAGGAGAGAGTGTGTGGTTTGTGTCGGGTCTCCGCTCGGCCTGCAGCTGGGGTCCATACGGGTGTCTCCAGGGGACCCTAGAGCATCCGATGGAGGTGCGTGGGAAAGCCAGATCGAACCAGGGGCCCGCGCAAACTGCGTGTCCTAGCGCTGTGCCCCGTTGTGTCTCAGTACTTCGTGCGTATGGGGTTGGGAGCGTATAGTAGCTTCAGTCACAGTGACGGGAACCGAGGAGAGTCAGGCAGAGCACGTTTAGAGGGAGGGTGCCTGGTGTGTTTATTTGCAGCGGCGTCTATGCTGGTTTCTGATCCTGTTTTCTCCAAGGTGCTTCACACTCCTCAAGAAGCGTTCCCGTGGCCCCCTTTAACCAAGCATTTCATTTCTCTGGGCGGTTGCTTGGGGACATGCGGGCGAGCCTGTGGGGTTAATCTGTGCAAATGAAACTGGTGCTCCCCTGATAAGAAATGGCGTTTCCTTGGGCTCTTTGTTTTTGGCCTCTTCACGGACAGACATGCGGCAGTGGGACTTTCCCCACTTGACAAATGCGAGGACTTCAGACCTGCTTCTGGTTGGGACTGATGCAGGCCCATACAAAGTAATAGCAACCGAGCTACTTCTGTCTTTGGAGACAGGACGTGTGGCTTTTCCAAAGCTGCTCACTTCCTGAGCCTGTTTCCTCGTCTCTGAACTGGGGACAGCACCGTTGACCTTGCCGAGTCGCTACTGAGAATTAGGCGGCCCAGGTGAAGCGCGCCGCCCGGCGCCGAGCCAGAGCGCTCTGACAGCGGGCTGGCTGCAGGGCTGTTTCGGGGACCGCCGCGCCTTTCTTTTGACCTGTGTGCACCGGCCCTCTGCCCTCTCTCCTAACCCAGCCATGGTTTCCTAGGGACTCCAGTTTGTCTTCATGTTTGAGAACTTGACGGAACCTGTGAAGGTGCAGAAGTCGATCACAATGCAAAGTAAAAAAAAAATCTAATTCGAAGATCAGTGGAAGAATTTCTGTGAGATGAGTCAAGTCAGCCACCTGGTTTCCCACGGGTGCCACTCGGAGGCAAGAGAAGGTCAGTCATTTTCGAACTGTCCTCACAGCCCTCTGGTTCCCATGATCCCATCGCTCTGGTCCTCCTCTCAGGAGAATGCAGCACCTCCCAAGGGCCTCCTTGTCCTGAGGGGGGTGAGGTCCCCTTGGGGATCGATGTGGGCAGCCCCAGGGCCCCACATCTGGGCAACAGCAGTGGGAAGTGAGGGTCGCTGCATGGGGAAGCCCCTCCACTGCCCCCCGGGAGCCCCCCGGTGGTCCTGCCCAGGCTGGAAGCACATCCCTTCCTTGTGTGTGAGCCTTGCTGAGCTGCGAGGCCTCACCGAGCCACCTGCCATGCCCGGGGCTCTGGCCACACCCTTGGTCCCTGCTGGATTTCATCGTCCTTCCGGCCCGCCCCCCCATTTGGGTAGAAATCACCAGTATGTGACACACAGCAGACATTTAGATAGTGGAGTTATCATGGGCCCGATCTTACATTTTTTTTTTTTCTTTCCCCAAACAGTATATGTGGTGTGTGTGTGTTCCTGCAAGTTTCACATTCTGGTGCTCCGTTTTTTATCTTCTTTTTTCTTTAGGAGACCAGAAGTCCCCGCTGCCCCCATCTGAAGGCTGTTGGGGTGCAGGACGCAGCCCACAGACGCTGGGAGTCTTCCTGGGCTGGGCACCCGCCGCATGCGCGTGGCCGACCCCCGAGGCCTGGCTGTCTTCCCGGGACTCGCAGGCGGCCCTGGTTCTGGTAGGACAGCTGCAGACGCACACACAGAACACTGCTGCGGCGCGGGTTGTGAGGGCCGCACGGGGGCTCCCCGCAGTCCTCTGGCGGCCTGTCTGTGGCAGCAGGGGCCCAGCCCCCGCGACACACGGGCGGAGTGGCAAGAGGGGCGTTCGGTGGGGAAGGCCGGCGGGGTGCGTGGGGTGACTAGTTCCTCTCGGGCTCCCTCCGGGCCCCCCTTTCAGTGCCTTCGGCGACATGGGCAGAGCGGCACCATTTGATAGGAAAGCGTATTTTGCATTGGAGTTGTAGCTCAGAAGAGACATGCAAGCGAGCACGTGGGTTGGGTTCCTAAAAGGAACAATGCGGAGTGTGTGGGCTGCAGCCAGAAGGTGGGTTTCCGTGAACAACGCAGGCTTCACCTCTCTTTCCATGGGGCGGCACGTGCCCCGATGTTCGATCTCGTCAGAGTCACGCGTAGCGAGCACTGTTGCTTGGCCTCCACCGTCACGTGGAGGCAGCTCCGCTTCCTCGGGGCAGTGGAGAGGCAGGGGCCATGCACTTCCTCTCCCGGGCCCGGTGTGGCCAGGAGGCCGGGGGCGGCTCTGCCAGGGGGGAGACGTCTCAGTGCTGAGCTCCTTCCTAGTGTTTTGCCGGATGTTCAGCTGGGCCCCGGGCCTCCTTCCCACGAGCCCAGCCCATACAGACTGTCACACTGGGTGAGACTGTGGTGGCCGCTGCGGTGACTCCTGTGAAGGCCTGCGCCTCTGGGCCCCGGCCCCCTCTCTCCAGGACCCATCCCAGCTTCTCTGTAGGTCTGCCAGTTCTTTCTTTTCCCTCCGTCTGCTCTGCGGCCAGGCTGTGCTCACACTTGGCTCTTCAGAAGGGAGGCTGCATGCAGAGAAAGGCCATCAAATATGCATGTGCTTTCTGCTGGGCTCCCTGGGGGCCGGGAAGCCCACCCCTTGCCCAGCAGGAGGGGAGCTGCCGGTCTTCCTTGCCCTGCTGTTCCCCAGGCCACGCTGGGCTCAGCAGGGCTCCAGCGGCCGCACCCCTTCCCCTCCAGGCGCATGAGAGCCTGGGGCCCGACAGCCTGGCTCCTCGCACTGGGAAGTTGCCGAGACTTTACCTCGGTGTCCCCTGCAAGGGCGGCCACGTGACAGTTGCGGATACACCTTGGGTGCAAAGCGCTTGGACCAGACGCCTGCTTTTGAAAGCCCCCCGTGTTTCTTTCTCTCAGCTGCACATCCGGGAGCTTAGCTGTCAGGCACTGCTGGCTCCAGGGAAGGCAGGCCTTGGAGCCGGTCCTCCTGGCACGGGAAGCGGCTGTGCCAGGCCTCTGCCCCTCCGGTTCCGGACACCCCGGGGGCAGGAGGGCCGCACTCTCCCAGGGGCCGCCGCGCTGCTCGGCATTCCCGGGGCCCCTGGGGGGCCGGTGGGGACGCAGGCGCGGGGTGGGCAGGGCCGGGGCAGCTGCACGGCCCGCAGGTCCCGGGTGGTATCGCTGGCCCGCTGAGCCCCCAACAGCATTGCTCACTTTCTGCGATTCTGAGCCCAACGCCAGCGCAGCTTCTGATGTTTGAGGGCATGGGGGGATGGGGGCCAGCTGGCCTGTGTCCTCCTCATGACCTTATAGCGACTCTTCAGATTCTTAGAGATGATTATTTGTCACTCTAAAGCTGTCTGATCGGTATACGAAGCATCCGGAACCCCTCTGCATTCCCCTCTTCCCTGTCATAACACATTTCCCACAGCTCTCTGGACCCAGTGGCTTTTAAGTGCATGGCCTTTGTGCAAATGGCACTCGATCTTTGCCTGTCAGAGGCGTCTGAGTGCGATTCGGGTGGCGTTCAGAGATCACTGGGGGATTTCATCTCCCGCTCCTTCCAGACCCGAGAATGCGTGTTCACACTTAAAGAACTTTACTGGACTCTAAAGATCACAACTTTTTTTTTTTTTTTGGAACCTGAAAAT